TCTCCCACACGTCATGAAGGATTTTCTAATGGGGCTCAGCAGACTCTAAGATTTATATCAAAAAGGCCCAATTTATTGAATTAATGCTGCAGAGCAAAGCCATGGCTGCTTAACAACTGGAGTATCAGTATTTTACAGCAACATAACTAATAAGGCCATTAATACAAAGTGGGCTCACTCCTGACATTTATATCACCGTAAATCTCGCTCTCAGCACCAGAATTATTTATGCCGTCCCAGGCACTCGAGGAGCGCTGTCATCCTTTATCAGGCTGAAAGATTTGAGCCAAGAAACAACGAATATAAACACAATAATACAAAAAAGGAGCTGGAGCAGAGGTGGGACGGGTCCCTGATGCAGAGGTGGGGCTGGCCCTTGCTGCCCTGCGGGGATGGGACGCTGTGAGCCAGCCGGGTCTCTGGGGACTGAACCCGTCCAGGACACCTGGCTGCAGCTCCCCACAGGCACCTGAGCAAGGAAAACTGGTTTTCCAGAAAAAGATGGTTTCCCCAGAATCATGGGATGGGCTGGGAAGGACCTTCAGGCTCATCATATCCCAACCCACCATGGGACACTTTTGCTTCAGGGTGCAGAGCACAGACTCCAATCCCACTGTCACAGATTTTACATGGGGGTTGTGGGTGCAGCCAGGAAGACTGAAAACTGCACAGGGTGAGGAAGATCTACACCCCAAAAAACCCAACCCAAAGCATCCCCAGCACCAACCAAGCACCTGGGGAACTGCCAATGGGAAGGAGGCGAGGGCAGGGGGTGGCAGAGCTGAGAGCCCGACGGAGCTCACCGAGTACTAATTACTGCCGGCATTATCTGCGCAGACAGATAAGGTTTTCATTAATGAACTTGAGGGAGGTGGGGAGGCCGAGGGAGCAGCAGCAGCCGCCGAGAGCCAGGCAGGAGCTGTGCATGAGCCAGCGGCACCAGCAGCGGTGGCAGCGCGGGGACATGGGGACAGCAATTAGTGACGAGCCTGTTCCTGCTCGGCATTGTTGTGCAGGCTGTCTCCTAATTCACAGCTCGCTGGAAATGCAATCGTTAGCGATCTTCCCTAGGCAGGGCCTTGTTAAAGCCGCGGTCTGGGGAGAGAAATCCCGGCCGGGGTGGGAGAAGCATCCCCCCCTCTCAGCCTCGCTGCAGCAGCGCCTCTCTGCCCTTCCACTCCCAAAGCCCTCTCCCTGCGGCTCACTTCCAGGGAAATGCCTGGGAAATAGATCACTCGGAGCCTGGAAAGGTGAGATGAATCTCCCAGGGCTGGGTGTCCAAGAGCATCAGAGCTGTGACAGCAAGCAAGAAGGCCAGGAGGGGAGGTCAGCCCAGCCCCAGCCCAGCAATTCATGTTTTAAGTTCAGGTGACATCATGCAACGCTGAAAAAGAGTAGAAAAATATCCCATCGCTAACTTTCTAGGATCTACTTTCTCATACCTCATCTCCCAGCTTTTCTGAAATCCAGCCTTTCCCCAGCTCTTCCAGGCAGCAGCAGCAGTTTGCTCTGCTTGGCTGTAATTAGCTGCAAAACCACCTCAAAAACTGCCTGGCTGAAGAACATTTAAGGACTAAAAAAAAAAGAAATGCAATGGGGCTGCAAGAAAGCAAGTAAAATCCATCATAGCTAATTATTTACTCTTGACTGTCAAAAAAAAAAAAAGATGGATTGATGAAAGGAGTTGGTAAGCAGGACGATGGCGGGAGTGTTGTTGAAGGCAAGCACTGCAGTGGGATCCAAAAGCAAGAATTTTCATAATCTATGGGCTCTTAATTATCTAAACTGAGGTCTCTTGGAGCTGCCTGAGTGAAAATTAATTAGTTTTTGAAATAATAGCTAAATTGATACTGGGAAGGAGTTTGGGTTCCAAAATAATGGCTGAAAATTAGCCAGCCTGTTTCTCCATTTCTCTTTGCCATGTTCAGGAGGACATTTGTCTCTGTTCCTTTTTCAGAAGAGGGCCATTAATCAAATCAGCAGATGGTTCTTCCCAAGCCTGGGGTGTTGCAGAAACACAAAAGGGAGGAGGAGGAAGCAATCACCAACAAGTGTTAGGGGAAGAAAATCCTCCAGCCCAGTGATTAGCAGCTCCAGAGTCCATTGCCCTTGAAAGAGCAGGAGCTGTTCAGCTGCAGTGACTCCTCCGGAGACAGGAGCGTCTCCCGTGACAAGCGGGCACCTCCAGGAAAGGGATTTGTCTGTCTTTAAAACAAATTACCTGCACTAATCCCAAACACCAGGATTTATGTCTCCTGGCTGACCCGGGTTTGATGTCCAGCTTGTCAGTGCCTGCTCAGCCTCTCACCCACGAGTGGGCCACACACACATCAGAGTCATCCCTGCCCGTCCTGGGGGTTCGTGTGCTGGCCTCTCCCCCTGCCCATCCTGGGGGTTCGTGTGCTGGCTTCTCCCCCTGCCCATCCTGGGGGTTCGTGTGCTGGCCTCTCCCCCTGCAGAGGGGTCACCCCATCCCCTCCCAGCTGGCTTCATTTTCTTAAGTAGTGTATTAAATATGGTTTTAGGTTATAACATAATGTTAAAATAGAAGCTATGCTATGCAAGATATTTGTTTAAGAAAGGACTCGCACCGGGTAGAAGCCACAGGACACCTAAATCTTTCAGAGAAAGGGAACCCTCTGCACTGTTGGTGCTGCTCCAGCCCAGCCCTGCAGAGCTGCTGCCGGGCTGGAATCACCCACAGGTGGCTGAGGGACAGCAGCTCCTGCTCCCAGGGCCTCCTTCCCTTTCCTGTTCAGCAGCACCAACAAAAGCCATCCTTGCCAGCTGCTCGTTCTGCTCTCACAGCCAAAGGAGGGGCACCTGCCTGGCTGAGGGGTGGTGCTGCTCCCACAGCATCTGCCAGAGCCAAATTTCAGACCCTCTCCGTGAAGCTGACAGCCACACCCCGTGCCACAGTGTCACTGGTTGGTAAGGAATGGCAAAAAGACAGTCAGCAGGCTCAGTGGCATGAGCACAAATCTTTAATTTGAACCACTTCTTTCATTACACTGGTCGATACAGGTGGACTTGATTGTTCATTTAATCAATGCATTTCACCCGACTGGCTAATTAACACGGTGCCCACTTCTAAACAATGAGAATAACAAGAAAACAGGCAACAGGAAAACAACACCTGCAGGTTGTATTTCATAATTGGATGTCATTGTTTATCTCCAACTCCCTAAATTCTCCCAGGCCGATACTGGGAAAGCTTACCATGATTTCTTGCTCTGTGACCAGGCTGCCACATCCACACCTCAGGGGTGGCCAGAACCCTCCTGGAGCCCCTGGGCTCCCAACTGGGTACCCTTGTGGCTCACCCACTGCAACGCCTTAACTGGATTTATTGCTCTGCCATGGGCAAGAGAAGGCAAGTGGATGCTGGATTCTTGGCCATTACTTTGATTTTTCATCCTTCACCTGCTGTGAATAAAGAAAAGTGACAGTGAGAGCGGCAGCCCCCCGGCCAACACCCACTGCCATCCCCAGAGCAGGGCAGCAGCACCCATTGCTCACTGGGCCTGCACGGTCCAGCAAGCCACTGATTTATCCCCAGGGCCAGAAAGAAGGAGGCTGGCCAGCAATCCTTAATTAAAATAGATGTACTCTGCCTGGAGGAAGGGCCAGGTTCTGTGCAGGAACCAGAAGTTGTTCCCTGGCTCAGGTGCTGTCAGCCTTGCTTGGGTTGCCCTTGTTGCCAGAAATGCACACGCTCAGCTGGACGATACTGGAGTTGCCAGGTTTTGGGGTGTTTTCACCCAGAAGAGAGGTGGAGGAGTGCCAAGGCCCCGGGGAAGAGCTGTGATGGGGCACAGCACCCACCTCTCCTCCTCCTCCTCCTCCTGGCAGGGCAGGCACGGCGGGCTGGGGAGCAGCTCCAGCTCCAGGGCAGGATGCTGGCGCTTGGCTCCTCGCAGGAATCTCTGTGTCTGGCGTTTCCATCTCTCCTGTCCGGCCCCAGGCTCCCTGCCAGCCCACGCTCTGGGCTCTGCAGCCCTGCTCACAGGCGGGCTGAGCCCACGGTCCCTCCTCGGGATTCCTCTCCAGCCCCAGGCACGGCGTGATTTTTCCATCCTCTTTCTGGAAGGTGATTAAACGCCGCGCTTGTAAAACACTTCATTCTGGGAAACAAATTATGCAAAACACACTCGGTGGGACCTCACACAAATGGATACAGCCGGCAGTGGGGACTCTGCTCCCGGGATTTGCTGCTGGGGGCTGTGGGAAGCTGCCTGGCCGGGGAAAGGATGCTCAGCACAGAGCTCTGCTCCAGCTCAGCCCAGGGAGCTCCTCTGGGGACAGCTGGCTGGTGGCACACACGGCACAGGGACAGACTCGTTGGGAAGGATGAAAGTTTGACAGGAAAGTCTCACGTGTGTGCTTGGCAGAAAGATCTCTGAATGTAGAACTGAGAATAAAATAGAGATGGAAGCAATTTTTTGATATAGAAGAATAATAGATGTATGAATTGAGGATTGCTCAGCCAGCCTTACTGGGCAGCTAAGAAAGCCAAGGTTATGTCAAGTTGGAAAGAGATTTTATGACTTAGAGCAAAGGATAAGCTGACCACAAACAAAAAGATCTTTTTACCAAGCAGAAAGATAGCACAGGCTAACAAGATATGTTGATGTGGCAAGTAGAAAAAAGATCTAAGAATTTTCCACTGCAAGAAAACTGAAAAATAACTGTAACATACTGACTCTTGTGATTGGATAGTATTGACCATAATATGGTAATGACAGCATGATGATAGGCTGTAGGTAACAGTGAAGGTATTGATTGCTTGTTATGTATTAAATGCACAGTGAAGAAAAATATATAATGCATTGTAACCAAAATTAAAGTGTCTTCAGGCTTGCCTATAGCTGTGGCTGGCAGCTGTAGGTGTGGCTCTGTCACCCGTGACCCTGGGCTGCTGTCACATCTTGGGTACAATAAACTGCATTCTGAAGAGCTGCGTGTCTCTCGTCTCAGGCTCTGACTCAGGCTGCTCTGGAGGAGGCTCGAGCATGGCACAGAGCAGCTCTGGAGGCCCAGCACATCTGCATCTCCTGTTCCTTGTTTTAACCCTCACGTGGGTTTTCCAGAGCATTCTGCTGCTGCTGGCAGTGCTGCAGCACTCGTGCACACGCTGGGATGAGCAGCTGGATGGATCTTCCCTCGTGTTTCCAAGCAGCTGCAGGGATGCTCTGCCAGCACGAGCCCTCGCTGGCCAGGCAGAGCTTTCCACACCTTGGGCCACTAGTGATGGGCAAGGAGGCTGCAGCAGGCCCTGGCCACAGGGCAGCCCAGGATGGAGCTCACTCCTCTGGGTGGCTCAGGGATGCTCCAGGGGAGAGGACTGCAGGCAGCAACGTGCTGGGTTAGGAGCAAAATCCGTCCAGTCTGGAGCCTACCTTGGGTGCATCATTGTTAAAAAGAAGAGGGGGGAAAAAAAAAAAGGGGAATAAAAGAAAAATGAAGATTCCCTGCCCCCAAATTGCTGACTCACAGTGAGTGACTCAGGCTGAGTTTAGCTGGGGAGCTCTCACAGCGGGGTGAGCCCTGCTGGCCTCTCCTGAACCTTCTGATCAGACCTTCCCCAGCTCAGGAGAGATCCCAGTCACGCTCCAGGGGGATTATGGAGCACCTCTGCAGGCTGGGACGAGCACGTGCATGTCCTGAGGTGCACACACAGCTCTGCTGGGCATGCAGGGCTGGGCAGGGAGACAGCAGCCAGAGCATCACAGCTGGGGAGTCACCGTAGGGATTCCAACAGCAGGGAGGTGTAGGTCTGCACCAGGGGCTCCCCTGGTGGCACTGCCTGACTGCAGGAATGTGGCCCCCGTGGACAGAGTGACAAAACTCTCCTTTGTCTCCTTAAAAAGGAAAAAAGCCCAGAAGTTTCTCTCGATTAGGTGAAAAGACACCTCATAGGACCCCGGGGACTTCACCTCAAACTTAAGGATAGCCAATTGGACAGGAGCCAAAAAGTCCCACCTAAGCAATTTATGAGAAAAAGAAGAGAACAAAGGAAATAATTGCTTTTGTGAGGTGTTTTACCAGGAGCAAGAACCTCTTGCACCTGGCTCAGTTTTTGTCTGTAAAGAAGTTTGTTATTTGCCTTTTATTAAAACTTTCCTATTTCCAACGCTATCACAGAAGCCATCCTGCTGATTTTCTGCCTTCTAAGGTAGCTGAGCTATCTTAGGTGTGATATAGGTCTACAAGAGCTCATAAAACCTGGCTGCAGGAGACCCCTGTATCACCTGGCCCCGGTGGACAGAGCCCCAGTGGCTCTGCAAGCACTGCAGGTGTTGTTCCAACAGCTCAGCCTGGCCTGGGGCTGGCCCCTGGGGATGCACAGAGCTTCGCCCAGACCGATTTCCACAGCAGGGTGCCACGTTCAGGACTTTCTGATCAAAGAGAACTCTGTTTCTAAGCCCTGATGGTATCAGCAGCAGAGGCTGACCCGGCTGGGAGCTGAGCTGGCTCCATCACACCCACTCCTGTCAGGTCAATCATTGCATAACCTCACACTAAGCCTTCACCGAGCTCTGCCCAGGAGCCCAGCCCCCAGCCCAGGGCTCAGGGCTCATCCAGAGAGCTGCTCCTTGCTCCTCTCTCCTCTCCAGCCCCGGGCAGAGCTGGGGGCCCTGCCTGCCCCGAGCCCCCCACGCTCCCAAACCCTGCTGCCCTGAGCCATGGCAGCAATGGGGACAGATTCCCGCAGGGTCACTGACAAATGAGCTGAAGGCATCATCCCTTCTCAGCTTTTCCAAGTCCAACAGCATTGCTGAGAGCTTTTTCCTTTCCCCCTTTTATTTTTCATATGCAAAAAATCAATTCCTCCTCCTCGCTGCTAGTAATTCCACTGAACTTTCCCATCCCATTGTTCCCTTCCCTTCCCAATTTCTGCATTTTCCAGACTCTGTACTGGATGAAATGATGTCCATTCCCTTTTTCTACCTGTTTTTCCACATTTTTGGCTCACAGTGACCACTCTGGCTCTCACTTCCCTGATTAGGGACATTCTCTTTCCAACAGGCAGCTTCCAGGAAGCCCTGGGAGCCACAGAAACTGGGGCAGTGCTGTGTTCATGCCTTCCTTTGCCATCCAGCCTCCCCTTTTTAGGGGTAAAGAAGGGGTTGTGGCACTGATTCAGCTGTTTCCTCCCAATCTGGAGGGAGAGGGGGGCCCTGTACACCTGCAGAGGGCAGAGAAGGGAATGGGGCACCTCCGGTGCTGGGATCTCAGTAAAGGAGAGCTGGCTGGAGATCCCATTGCTGCCCAGAGATATCTGTGACTTCACCTCCATGAACACACCGAGCAGGGTGAGCAGGCTGAGCACTGTGTGGGGCAGGGAGCAAGGGCAGGCTGTCCCCTCTCCAAGGCACCACAAGCCACCCTGTCCCCAGGGCTGGCCACAGGCACTGGTGACAGATCAGCTCGGAGCTGGCAAGTGCTGAAGCACTGAGCAGTGCCAGGGCACAGGGCTGAGCCTGGCAGCCCCCACTGATCCAGGGGCGTGGGCACAGGGACAGCTCCTGGGCAGCCCTGGCAGCCCTGGCAGCCCCAGCTCCCACTGCCAGCCCCTGGGTGCAGCTGGTGAGCCATGCCCAGCCTTTTCCCAGCCCCTGCTGCTTCCCAGGAAGAGCAGAGCTGCTTTGCCAAGGTTTGTTCCCACTCTCTGCTCCAGGGCAGAGGGAGCTGGGCACCACAGCAGCTGATGAGCAGCTGGGGCCAGCAAAGCCCTGAATGAGCTGCAGGCAGGTGAAGCTCAGATTTCCAGATCCTTCACTTCTGCCCTGACACCTGGGAGCCAGATTTGTCTCTGAACCATCCTGTGCTGCTGTTCCTGTCAGGAACGAGCACGAGGCAGGCAGCAGTGCAGGGAGGGAGCCCTGCCAGCAAACACCACTCGTGCTGGGCACGGCCAAGAGGAGCCAAGGGGAAAGGACCCAGTGCCAGGGGCTCCTCTCTGCCAGGGCAAAGCTCACTGTGTCCCTGCAGCAGTTTGGCACAGGGGGTGTGGAGGGCAGCAAGAGCCTCAGTGATGCTCGTGGAGCACAGACAGGAGCAAACAACAGCCAAACAACAACAGCAGTCTCTTGTCAGATTAAACACCACTTCAATAACCTCAATAAATTCTCTCCCCCTTCAGAAGGGAGGCAGGTGTGCAGGGGCCTGAGCCCTCCTGGGAAGGCAGAGGGTGCAGCTCCTCCCCAGGAGCACTGAAAGCCTGTGCACATCTGCCAGCTCATGGCAATCGTGAGTCACAGGGACCCCGGTGCCACATCCCACCCCCTCCTCCCCTGCACAGCATGTGCCCTTCCCTCTGCTCTGGGGAGGGGACAGCTCAGAGCCCCCACAGCACGGGGCACGTGGGCAGAGCGTGGCAGGGGCTCTGCTCCAGGGGAAGCTTCCCAGCTTGGGGACAAGCTGTGCTGGCCTGCAGAGCTGGGGGAGGATGGCTGAGCTGGGCACACCTGAGGAGCAGAACAGGCCAAGCACAGCAGCAGGGAAGGCACACAAGCATCAGTGGAAGGAGCACCTCAGGGAGACAGAAAGAGCTGCCAGGAGCTCACAGAAACACAGGATGGATTGGCTGGGAAGGGATCTTAAGGATCATCTGCTCCAACCCCTGTCACGAGCAGGGACACCACAAGGTGACCAAGAGCAGCAAGATTTGGGGAAGTGAGCAGGCCCAGCTATGCCAAAGCAAAGGGTGGGGAAAAGCTTCTTTCAGCTCCTCTCACCCTCTGTAAACACAACCCTGGGAGCTCCTTGTCTGGGATCTGCCCAGCCACGTGGGGGAAAACACATTTCTGGGAAAGCACAACACATCCAGCCAGGCAGCAGAGTGTGTCAGCAGCTCGTGGCTCTGTGGGTGACAGCCCAAACACCACCAGGACATCTCCCAGACAGCAAGGCCAACCTACCCTGAGAAACAGCCCTACGGCTGGAGAGAATTCCTTCTGCTTCTCAGCGCTACAGATAATGCATCTCTCCTGCTCCCTCTGCACTGCCCAGCCCCTCACTCAGGCACCTCTGCATCCCTTTGGGTAAAACAGAGCCCTGGCAGAACCCATGGGCTCCCCTCTGCAGCCCCACAGCTGCCCCCATAACCCAGCACATGCCACCAGAGGGGACCAGGGACATTCAGGGATGGTGGCAGGAGAACAGGGCTCTGGCTTGGTGCTGAGTTTTGCACCGTGCTGCACTCAGCCAGACTAAATGATCATTTACATTGCTCTTTCCCAGCTAACAGAATAAACGACACAGCAGCAGAGCACCTCCTGGTGTGACAGCTCCGAGGAAGGCAGACCCTTTCCTCCAGCCCTGTGCTCTGGCCCAGGGTGTCCCCAGCCAGCCCAGCTGGGTGTTTGTCACCAGCAGCGGGGTGCAAGGGAACAGCCAGTGCCCTGACACAGCTCCGAGCTGCTCGGGGAAGCAACGCCTATTTCAAGGAGTCAGAGCCTTTCTAACCTACCTTCCTCTGAAAGGAAAAAAGCCCACCTAAATATATCCTCCCCGAATTAGAGCTTTCAGCCTGCCTGCCTCCTGCAGCCCATTGTCCAGCGCACCAAGAGCTGTTTCCCTGGAAATGGCAGTGCAGGCTAATTGCTGTTTGAAGCCTTTCCTCCCACGGAGCAGAGCAGCAGCCTGCAATGCCATTCCCTCTCTGTTAGAACAGGCTTCCCAACCTATTTCTCCCTGGTTTTCTCCCCGGACAAGGAAGATTTCATCAGAAGTGTTTCCCTGCAGAAGCCACACGAGGGTGTGTGCAAAGGGGGAGCTGCTGGGGACACCCCTGGGGACTGACAGCTCCAGGGGAGCTCAGGGGACCCTCAGCAGTGGGATGAGCCTGGAGCCTTCCCTACAGGTGAGTCAAGGCAAAGGAGAGATGTGAGCAGGAGGAAAAGCACATCTGATGTATGTGGTTTTTTCACCTCAGCTCCTGAGAAGAACAGGGTGTCAGAAGGCAGGACAGGCAGTGCAATGACAGCTTCTTATTTAATGTAATTGCTACACCTCAGAAGAAAAAGAAAAACAAACAAACAAAAAAGCCTTGTCATGAGGCAAGATGATTTTCCCTCAAGAAATCCTCGAGGTTGGGTGTTTCCATTGAGCTCTGCAGAGGAGAGCCCTGCTCCCAGTGAGCCCCTGGGGCTGGGGAGGCACTGGCCAGGATTTCCAAGGGGAGACACCCGATGGAGGCAATTCCTGGGCTCTTTGCTGGCACACAGCAGCACTGTGAGCAGTCACCCCCGAGGTTAATTAGATAAGGTTCTCCAGCAAGGTCTCTGGCAGAGCAGGAGTTCCCTTCCTCTGTGTTAAGCCCTTTTTTTAACCCTCTGACAGGTCTCAGCATCCATCCCACTGCTGACCACAACGGGATCTGCTGCAGGA